CCTTTTTGGATTTTTGCCTGCGCTATGGGTTCATTCCTGCCTGAAAATCGTAACATAGATAGATTGATTGATGTCTTTATTGTCATTGTACAGAGCACAATGAAATTACATTTAAGAACACCAATTCAAGAAGACACACACATGACAAAAACATAGAGGAACAGGTGTACAGGTCATGCAGCAATCAGCAGGGATTGCACTACCTTTAAAAAGAAAAAAAAACACACAGAAGGTTAGATGAGGAAAAAAACAAAACAAAACATCATATTATATCAACAAAATATGATACACTATGGTGCTTATAAAAAACCTCTACAAGCAAGAGCACATTTATTAGCCAGAGGAGTAAGTGAGTTTGGAGAGTGTGTATCTGAAGTTGTGAATGTTGTACGCACTTGTGTGAATATCTGAAGAAYGAGTCTGAAGAATCCAAACCCCAAAAGATAAAATCCATRGTTCAGCCATTGTCCAGAATATTGGTGTTGAATTGTTCATTCTGTGCAGCTTCAGGTTGTCCTTCAAGGAATAAGATTAGACAGGAGTGAGTGGGTGGGGRGTTGACTTAATTAGTTCCACAACCTTCTCAAGGTCAACATGTGTGGGGGAGAACCTAATCTGTTATCAGTTGTTTGGGAACAGAAGAAAATGTTTTCGGTCAGGCAGACAATAATAATTTTCCATCTGCCTTAATGTCCACTGGTACATCCAATGTGRTGAATCCAATCAGACAAATAGTGTGGACAATTCAGCTGAGCCGAGCTCTCAGCTTCTCCCAGAKAATTCCATCTYGCCAGCAAAGTCCAGGGACCACAGCCGGCTCGCGACCCTCAGCAGAACCGCTTGCAGACCGAGTCCCAGCTTGGTGTGAATACACCCTAAATATTGTTTCAATAAAGACCAGAGTTGTCTTTCTTAAAGTGTTCCCCTATCATGTCACTTCCTGTTTCACTTTGGCTGAGCCAAGTTCAAAAGAAAATACGTKATTTATGTGACAAAATGAGTAAAATCATGTGTATGCAAAGATTTTTAAATATAGCTGTTTTCTTAGACTTTCTATGTTTAAAATATATACTCATCACAGGCACTTTAAGTTTGTGGCAACTACTGTAAATGGCAAAATTGAGGCAATAAAAAGTCACAACCCAGTGAATGACATCACTGCGGCAACTTTTTATTGATGCTTACTGCACCCACTAAACTTCATATGCCTATGAACAGCAGGCTTATGAAACGTCTGAAAGCCCATCTTTGACAGGAAAAGGAGCCATGAAACAGCGCTGCTGGTAGTTGTGTAAATTACCAGTTACGCTTAAACAAGTTAGAAGGACTCTAAAACAGCACACCTCCTCCCTGCTGCTGATTTGTTACACTTCAGCAAGCAATAACTGTGACATCCTTTGCATTGTTCATGATGAACGCTTTCTCCGCACTCCCCGAGGGAGGTTCAGTTTTTTCCCAGAGGACCTGGTGGCGTTCGTCTGTTGTTCATCTTGTGTACTGAGCTCCCTTCATCTGTATAACCACTGGTGCTAAAACGGTCCAGCGTGCTTTGATCCAAACACTTTAAACTAAAATATGCATGGGAAACAAAGGCAGCCTGAGTTTTTTTTTTTTCATCCTTAAAAGTGCAGCCCGGAGCTATTTTTGTCCTGCTTCATGGTTCTGTGTTATTATCCTGCCACTCAAAGCTAAATGCCACGAGGAGAAGGATGCTACTAACACCTGCCAGCGCTCAGGGTGAGGCAGAGGAGGGAGTGGAAAGTGTATAAACAACTGCTGATTGAGCAACAAAGAAGCAGAGGGCACGAAACGGCAGATAAACATGCTTACAATGTGCTTCAGGTGTTTCAACATAATGCGCTCCACATTTAGAAATTAAGCTCCTGGTGATGACTACGCTCTAATTTACAGATCCGCTCAAAAGGAAGTGTGTTTCTGAGAGACTGATGGCCCAAGTGGTTACACAGGTGGTGCTGCTGCAAATGTCGGCATCTGATAAAGTTTGTCTAAATGACATCCCTGAGCACATTTATTATTGGTTGGTACAGCGTAAACTGTGCGTTGGTCTCTTTAACTACACAGAGAGCCACATAATGTATAAATGAAAGGCTCAAACCATCTCGTGTTGAGATTGTTTTGGTCAAACCTGGAATGCAATATCACAAGATGCCATGTTAACAGTATGTGCAATAAATGACTCTCAGCTACAGCCAGGATGGTTTTTATCATAATAACAGTAAAACTGACTGAATTATAGTATTTTTTGTGTTTTCTAATGTCCTCAGACTGTGGCGACCACCCTGAATCAGCTCAACTCTAAATCGAGTTCTCGGGTACGAGTATCCAATGATCCATCGAGAAATCATTCATTCTTGTGTGTTTCAGATGAACTTAGATTCCAACGCAAAAATCAGAGCAAAGAATGAATAATGTTGAGCTCTGATCTGATTTTTGACTGGAATAATTTTAGCTCAAAACCGAAACATTTTATGAAGGAGAACTGATTTTCTAATCATGTATAATGACCCCCTTTTGAATGATATGATCTGTTTTACGAATTGTCTTAATATTGTGATGTTTTATTCTTTTTAAACTGTATTTGAAACTGTTTTATTTTTATGAAGCTAAAAGCCCATCTACTGGCATTGCAAATTAGCCTAGGCTATAAATGTTTTAGTGTACTGTATTGTTAATACTTGACACTTRTTCCTATAAAAAACAAAACAAACTGAAGAAATTTGTTAGGTTTTGGTTCTACTGATTTTTAAAAGCACCACACATACTGTAGTTTTTCTTAGGTGAATAATGATATATTTTTATAAACTAGACTGAATGGCTCGACACTATATGGTCACTCAGAGCAGGAAGTACATTTTGTTAGATACATGTCTGAAGACACGAACAACACAGGCTCTGCATTTAAAACACTAGTGCCCCTTTTCCATGGTGTAGTGTCAGAACGGTCGGTGTAAGTACGGGTCGCTACGGGTYGGACCGATTGGTTTTCCACTGATGTTCCAGTCCGGTTCCAATTGGTGTGTTTTGGGCGGTTGGARGAGGTGGTTTTTAGGTATTTACAAAAAGAATTAATGATGAATAACTTTTGAACTTTTAAACATTTGCAAAAACTTTGCCAATCAGTGACGAACAGTGTTCTGACATCACATTTATGGTGTCAGCTGGGGCCGGTTGGAACCACAATGAAGTAGGTACTAAAAAAAAGTGCCGGTTCCATGGATCTGGCCCAATGGGAATGGCTTGGAACCGTACCAAACCGTACCAACACTACACTAAGTGGCACTAGTGGAAAAGGGCCATAGGTGGCAGGAATTTTTGTGACAGGACATGACCCTGGAACAGAAAGTGGGCTTCAGTGAGGTAATGGTAGCAGGTGGGGTCAGGTCTTGAAGAAGTTGTTAAAAATGGACGCATCTCTTATCTCGGGGCCGACTGCAGAATTGAGCAATAAACTCTCTCTCGGTTCACAGCGCTGTGTGTGGTTGTGAGTCTTTTTACAGTCAAACATTCAAGTGTTGCAAATACTTCTGCTTTGTTGTGAACACAGAATGAAGTTTTGAATCCTTTTTTTAAGAACAATAAATAAACAAACCTAACGAAATGCATTGTTATAAAATTTTGTTTTGTGTTGAAGGTGCTTGCAACAATTACTTTGATAGTTTCATTAAAATCTGTCCAGTGGTTTATGAGGTACTTAGGTAACRTATTGATGCACACACATATTCTAACGACTTGAAGTGATATTCCGTACATCAGTATCAACTTCACTATCCGGTTTTCACTAAAACGGTGGCAGCTTTTATAGCAGTATTTGTCTGAGTTGTAGGCGTAGTGGTCAAAACTGTGAGATGTGTCAAATCCTCACAAACAATTTATGACCACATACTGTACGCATAAAATTCTGTGTGATTTCACCAGATATTATAATCACCCTTTGGCTCTCATGTTAGCTTTAAAACAGATTTTTTTCAATATTTTTAAATGTAAAAATTGCTTGTGAATAGGTGAAAAATGCAGAGTTGTTCTGGTTATTTATCAGAAACATAAAGTACAATTTATCAAATCAATAATAGGAATGTGTAGGATGTCCTTTTGTTGGAAGCACATGTAATCCAAAAAATATATTTTCCTTTTTTTTCCTTGGCCTGACATTGAGAATGAAAAAAAAAAAAAACCTCAGCTTATTAACTTTTTACAGTGGCTGCTTCTGCTATGCAGAAACTATAAAAAAGCTCAGAAGCTGAAGCTGTTCTGTTCAGCATTTCAGCGGGGGCC